ATATATATATCTATAGAAAATGTTTTCATTTCTGATAATTTGTGTCTGAAATGTGTGGAAGCAGAAAGTAAAAGCAGGTGAAACTTGAACAGGAAGAACCTGAAAACTGCAGACAACCCAGCAGCGTTTTAGTTCTGTGTGCGGAGGAAATGAAAGCAAAAATAAAAAGATAAAATTAAACATTTCCAGGCAGCTCTGTGTCAACAAACAAACACAATGGTTTGGTTTTTAATTGTTGCCCTTCAGTTTCATCTGGAAACAAAATCTGAAGCCTAAAGGCTTTAGAGAGATTTAATTAGTTCAAATGTTTGTTTACTGGGGGTGTAAGAAAATATTAAAACACTAAAATATCACAATATTTCATTGTATAATACTGTATTGATTCTCTAAAGCACAGTATCGATTTTTAATTAGGATTTAAAATGTAAACGTTCATCACAGTGGTTCATTCTGGTTGTAGTTTAGCCTCTGACCACTAGGTGGCAGCAGTCAGCTGTTTGTCTCCTGCACTCCTAAAGAGCCACAGTTTAATATATATTTTCTTTGTTTTCATGATTAACATTTTCTTGAATCCTAAAGAGAATTAAAACCTGTAACCTGCTGTTTACCTTGCTAATGTTTTAAGATGTTTTCCTTAGTTCTTCTGTGAGTTTTGAACCCTCCTGGTCTGAGTTGTTTCTGAACTCGCTGCTGTTTCCTCTCTTCCAGTTCATTGAAGGAAACTTTGAGGAGTATCTGTTGAAGCTTCAGGACCCGCAGGTGAACCTTCGACCCTGTTTCAGCTGCGGTTCATTAAAATCAGTTATCAAAACTAAACTTTGTGTTTTTCTTCCACCAGCAATGGGTGGGAGAGGTGGAGATCAACGCGTTGGCCATCATCTACAAGTGAGTAAATGTTTAACAGTTTATTTTAAACATGAAATAGGTTCATTTGTTTTATGATAAAAAGATAAAATATTCTGATTTTATCAGCTTTAAATCCCCAGCAGAGAAACAAGAACAGCTTTAATTTAAAGGTAGATTATTAAAGATTTTATGTTTTATTTTAGGTACTGGAATCACTGAAGGATGTCATTATGAACACATTTTTCTTTACTTTTACTACGACTAAAATCAGTATTTTCAGGTTTTATTATAGTTTTAGATGTTTGTGGTTTATTTACTCTGGTTCAGTTTTAAATGGTTGTTGTTGTTCTTTTTTAGGAGGGATTTTCAGATCTTCCAGGAACCTGGAAGACCAGCCGTCAACATCACAGACAACAACTTTAAGGACAAAGTGAGGAAAAAAAAACCTTTTATTGTTTTTACAGATGGTTTAATCTGGATTAACAGTCCCACTTTAAATACTGAAACCATTAAAAGATGATTGAATTAGATGTTTACTTTATATTTTTATTTTTTATTCAGAGTTTGGTCAAAAATACAAAATGTTTTACTTATTAAATGTTTTACTTATTAAATTTACTTATTAAAGCTCATAATCTTACCACTTGAAACATCACTAGCCCTGAAGCTGCTGGTAGACATCGCGGTTGAGAGACACCGTAGCAACTCCTTCGTGTTTGGAAGCAGGGGTGGGGGTGGGGGGAGGACCAGGGAGGATGATTCAACCACTCAACCACTAGATGTCGCTGAAAACAACAAATCCTACACACTGTGCCTTTAAAGGACCTAAAACTTCACGTTGTACCTGTGATGCTTGAACAATAAAATAACTTTTTTATTAGTTTATTCAAAAAAAATCTGCCCTTAAAGACTTCTTGTGGATTTTAATCTGTATTTCTTTACATATTGTTTTAAAAAAAGACTACAAGATTTTACTGATTATTGAACCGTTTTATTAAATAAATTGATAGGATTAAAGTAATTTCTTGTATTTTAAGATTTAGGTGATGTTTGAACATAAACGATAATTTTACAGTTTTTGTTGTTTTTTTTTCTCCTTTAAAATGGAGTTTTGTTTGTTTTAAAACCTGATTTAATGTGATGAAGAGAAATAATTGTTTAATTATAAATATACTGATGAAAGTTGAAAAATCGTCAGATATCTCTTTAGAACAAGTTAAAAATGGTAAAACGAGACTTTTAAAGTGCCTGTGACGTCAAATTTTTGTAATAAAATTGAATGTATTTTTGGAAGGATAACACTGACAACTTATTGTAAAAACACATTTCACGCCACTGAGATGAACAGTTGTTGAGATGTTTGCATGTGAAGAAACAGGAAGTGATGTCAAAGGGGAATGTCTGAATGTAAACGGAGCGTTGCTAAAAAGCTAACAACACGAACTGTGGAGAAGAATCTGATGTTTCTTTAATTTTTTAAATCACTATCATAGAAAGATGAGAGTCTGAGTTCAAATAATATTTTAATAAACAAAAAAACATGGAGTTTATTTCTCTTTCCCTTTGATGTCACTTCCTGTTTCATTTTAGCTGAACCAAGGTTAAAGGAAAATGCCTGTTATGTGACATAGCAGGTAAAATGCCAAGTTTGTCAAATATAAATATATTTTCTTTGACTTTTTGTATTTGATGGAAATGCATGTGACAGGCACTGTAATAAGTTGTGAAACACTGACAGGTGTGTTTGTGTTTGCAGGTGCAGTTGTGTTTTCTGAATGGGAATCATTACGACAGCGTTTATCCCATCAACCGCATCAAGAACTCTGGTGTTTGTCAGTGTGAGTGGAAACAGAAACGTCTTTCAGGTGTTTTAAACTTTAAAAAGTGTTTATTAACCGTGACTTTGCGTCTCCTGCAGCCATTTTGTACGAGCTGCTGTACGACGGCGTCTTCAAGGTGGAGCGCGGCGCTCTGGCTCCGTGTCAGCGGAGCAGCCGACCCAACGACTTCCTGAGCGACGACGCCATGTACCCCTACGGCAGCAGCGACGAGTCCGAGCCCGACACCGGGGAGCCGCTGTGGTACGACGAGGCTAACGGTTAGCGCCATGATTTACCTGAGAACAGGTGTGTGTGACTCAGGACAGGTGTGTTTCTGTCCTGCAGGGTCCAGGCTGAGACCAGCACTGCCTCCTCCAGGTCCAGCAGCCACGGGTACAGGGTAACGTATCAGCTGAGGGCTTCAAACGTCTGTCCACACACGTCCTCTGAGACGAGTGTCCTCTGTTCTCTGAGACGAGTGTCCTCTGAGACGTCTTTAGAGACGAGAGTCCTCTGAGATGAGTGTCCTCTGGAGAGGAGCGTCTTCAGAGACGAGTGTCCTCTGAGACGAGTGTCCTCTGAGACGTCTTTAGAGACGAGAGTCCTCTGAGACGAGTGTCCTCTGTTCTCTGAGACGAGTGTCCTCTGAGACGAGTGTCCTCTGTTCTCTGAGACGAGTGTCCTCTGAGACGAGTGTCCTCTGTTCTCTGAGACGAGTGTCCTCTGGAGAGGAGCGTCTTCAGAGACGAGTGTCCTCTGAGACGAGTGTCCTCTGAGACGTCTTTAGAGACGAGAGTCCTCTGAGACGAGTGTCCTCTGTTCTCTGAGACGAGTGTCCTCTGAGACGAGTGTCCTCTGTTCTCTGAGACGAGTGTCCTCTGAGACGAGTGTCCTCTGAGACGAGTGTCCTCTGGAGAGGAGCGTCTTCAGAGACGAGTGTCCTCTGAGACGAGTGTCCTCTGAGACGTCTTTAGAGACGAGAGTCCTCTGAGACGAGTGTCCTCTGTTCTCTGAGACGAGTGTCCTCTGAGACGAGTGTCCTCTGTTCTCTGAGACGAGTGTCCTCTGTTCTCTGAGACGAGTGTCCTCTGAGACGAGTGTCCTCTGGAGAGGAGCGTCTTCAGAGACGAGTGTCCTCTGAGACGAGTGTCCACTGAGACGAGTGTCCTCTGAGACGAGTGTCCTCTGGAGAGGAGCGTCTTCAGAGACGAGTGTCCTCTGAGACGAGTGTCCACTGAGACGAGTGTCCTCTGAGACGAGTGTCCTCTGGAGAGGAGCGTCTTCAGAGACGAGTGTCCTCTGAGACGAGTGTCCACTGAGACGAGTGTCCTCTGAGACGAGTGTCCTCTGGAGAGGAGCGTCTTCAGAGACGAGTGTCCTCTGAGACGAGTGTCCACTGAGACGAGTGTCCTCTGAGACGAGTGTCCTCTGGAGAGGAGCGTCTTCAGAGACGAGTGTCCTCTGAGACGAGT